GCCCCGGTAGTAAGCATCTAATTAGTCCAGGCCTTTGTGCTTGTGGAGCCCAACTTAGCAACCATGCCATGGAAACCCATTTGCACATTTATTGAAGACAGGGACAGAAAAGCAACCTGGTTGGGTCTCTGACATTTTGAACTAAAACAATTATTCCCAGGCAGTCTGTTGCCTTTTCCTTTATCTGGGAAGGGGAGACTTTGGGAAGGAAATAATAGTTAGGAAAGTTCTTCCCTTTCCTTTCTGGCTTCTGTGTCTCGTCAAGTGGGACTTAGAAGGTTTTTGTCAGTCTGTGTTTTCCCATGCCTCTCTTCCTAGCATCTCTTTTGCGGCGCTCACTCCCAGGGCTGTCAGTGGACATGCAGCATTCATCCCACAGGGCGCCATCATCCCTCTTTCGGCCTCTGCTGAAAAAGTAGCATTGTTCAGGCCGCTTTACTGAGCACTGTCTGCTGGGGAGTGCAGCAAACACACTGGCAAAGAAAGAGAGAAAAGAAAAAAAGGGAAGTTTGTGTGAGATACATGCCAGGCAAAAAAGGAGGCATCTTTTTTCCTTCAAGGGTTTTGGCAGTGACTGCGTTTATTGTTGGGTGGGTTGTTCACAATCTGGGGTTCTCTGGTCCAGTTACATGTTCCTATGTTGCATTTTGGGGGGTTGTTTTGTTTAAGAAACAGAAGTCTTAGAGCCAAAAGTGAGAGACTCCTTCTTTGTGACGAAGAATTGCTTTACCAGCCCTAACAACTGCTAAGAGAGTAAAACCCAAAAAACCTACCCCCTCCAGCCACAAAACCCCCTCCAAAACAAAGAAATCAATGTCCCGCTGTCTTGAGGCCACAATGACCAAATAAAATAGCGATCAGGAACTGGGGAGATGCAGTTCTTGTGAGGTTTTATTATTTTTTTGACCCCCTTATTTTAAAGTAAGGAGTAAAAAGAGATGAGCAATTATTGAGATACAAACTAAGGTATCCACTGTGGCAGAGAAGGATGGGAACACTAGAGGATCTGGAGGGGGAAAAAGTTTGTTGTTAATTTAATTTTTCCACCATCTTACCCTTTCTGGTACTGTGAAGTGGGTGCATATGTGACATCCACAGCTTTAAGTGAAATTGCTTTGTCACCCTGCAACCCCATGGAAAAGAATCTGGCAGTGCAATGATGATGAAGCCAATCACAGAGGAAATAAAATTAAATAAATACATAAGAGTCTTGATGTATTTGGAAATGATCCTACAGGAGAACAAAAAAAAAAAGAGCTCACTAAAGCCTCATCAAAAACAAGAAAGAGAGAAAACTAGTTTTATGAAAAAGATAAAAATATTTTGCTAATTTTTGCTCCAAATCAGAATAAGTCTTTGTTCAAGTGTTTTCTACATAATGTATTTATGCACATTTTTCAAAGACTCTGCACATTCATAATTTGTCTTGCTCATTCTTTTGCTTTTTGTCTGCTGAGGGCAATAGAGGAAGAGCAGTTTATCCTTTTCCTCTTTGAGTTTTCTTTTTCTTTTCATTTTTGTTGCACACTTTCTTTTCCAGATTTTGAGATACTGCTATTTATGCAGGAGGGGTGTGAGGGGAAGTACTGGAAACATAATTTCCCGTAAGAAAAACAAAAACCAACTCAACTGCACTGCCAAGCCATAAATATTTCCAATTTCAATCTCCTATCCCCACCCTGTTCAGCAGCTTACTTCCCTCTGCACAAAGCACCATTTAAATGAGATGAGCGTCACTGAAATCCATTTAGCTTTCAATCCCTGTAACACTAGAAATGATGGTCTTCAAAACCAGGAGCTCATTTCTTTGCATGAGCTTGGGGGCGTTTATACAGAGATCCTTTCCCAAGCTTTTGTGTCAACACATCCCATGGTATATCACCTTTCGATTTTCCTCGGTGCCATGAAAAGCCCCACTGCCAGCTTCGGTGCTCTGCAGAGAGGGTGTGGGGGACTTCGGAGTTCGCTGTTGCCTGCATCGCTGTAACGCAGTTGAGAGACACTCGGACTCACTCTTTGTGTTGCCTTCATGGCTCATGCATTTGCCCAAAGGGCTTCTCTGAGTCTGCAGGTGCTGAGAAAGATGGGAATGTTTAGTTTGTGATGATTTATGCCCTTCTATATATATATAATTTTTTTTTTCAGAAAAAACAACTAAATAATTTCATGAGTAAAATATACTAGCAAGCTAAGAAGAATGAATGATGTTCAATGGCAGCATAAATCAATCCTATTCTAGGCTGGTTTAGTCCCTCTTCCAAACAATCTTCCCATTGATACGTTCATTCTCCATTCTCTCACCAGATTCAGGAGTGCAATGGGGCCTTTCCCTTTTCCAGCAGCACAGATCTGTAGGGTGAGCTCACTGCAACACAAAGCCGTGCCGTAAAGGTGCAATTTGGCAGTACAGCAAAGCTGATTTCACACCTAGCTGCTGCTCAGAATTGAGGTCCCACTTGTCTCCCCCAAACCCCAGAATGCAAATTTCAATTCCCTTGCTTCCAGGCTCTCCAGAGCAGCAAAAGAATGAACCACGTGGAAAAAACCTCCTGTATGTTTGTGCTAGCTTAGTTCTGTGATCTGGCACACCATGAGCTCAGCCAAGCACCAGTGAAAGAGATGTAGCAGGAGGATTTGGATAGAGCTAGTGTACAAGCTGCCTGTTTCTCTTCCCAGCTCCCCATCTTCTCCAGTAACACCCTACCTGACAGAGCAGGGCTCCCTGAAGCATCCTACAGCGAGGGACATTTTAACAGTAACATTGAAAGAAGCCCTGCTGGTCAAATGTTGCCCCTTGAGGTCATCATGTTTAATGACAGCCTAGAGCAGCATCTGCCTTGTAGCTGTAAGCACAACTATGTATTTTCTTTCTTGGGAGTTCTGGTGTATGAAAAACTGGCTCATAGCCCCTGTCTCCTTGGTTCTTCTTGGACGACTGCACACAGCACCCGCTCAGTCTGCTCATATCCAAGGTCTATTTGAGATCTACCACTACTGAGCTCGCGGGTATTTGATTTGCTTGCTCCGATAACCACTAAATCTCCTCTGAGTCCTTGCTGCGAGCTTTCTCATGTCTGGTGGTAAGGGAGGGAACATCTTCCTCCAAGGATGGTTCAGCACCTGGAGAGCACAGGCAGTTTCCAGCCTTGGAGATGGTCAGGAGTCAGCTGGGCAAGGCACTGAGCAGCCCCAGGCACGTTTGGATTCAGCCCAGCTATGAGGAAGGGGGGGGTTGGACCTAAGACCTCCAGAGGTCCATTCCCAACTCTTCATTCTTTCTGCAAAGCTAAACAGTTGCTTATTTGCTTTCACTGGCAGTGCAGCTTGTTCATTTTTTTACATGGTTGTTATCTTGACTGTTGCTTGATTTCAAAATCCAGAGATGGATAAGGTGAAATAAGCTTTTAAAGGAAGTCTCTTCTTTTTACTCCTGTGGGTATTTGCAGGATCTGGATGGCTCTTGAACTAACAAAGATCCCATTGTTTCCTCCCACTGTAGTACAGCTTGCCCACATGCTAGCCAATTAACATGTCTGAAAATATATTACAGAGTAAACCTTCAATATTAAAATAAGCAAAAATACTGCTCCTGCAGCTCTGCCAGGGCCTCCTTGCCCTGCTTTACCAGCTCTGCATCCCTGTGGCTGCCCAAATGGCTATATAGGTGAGAAGGGGGAAAGTGAATTTTAAAAAAAGTTACTTGAATGCCACCTCTGCCACTCGGATATCGCACATAGAAATCCTTTGGAAAACTAACGTTGTGTATTAGATGTGCTTCCCAAGTAAGCAAAAATGTAAGCTGCAGCAATAAAAAAATTTCTACAGCCCATGCGTCACAAAATACTTTGATGTGTCTTTATACTGTGATTCAGCTGGCTTCTGGAGAATAAAGACAAACAAAGATCAAAGTTCTAAGGTTTATCAAGATACTTGCTCTTCAGTGGATTTTTTGAACCAGAGCAACAAGATGGCTGGTTGTATGAAGATCAAAACCGAAATAAAATAGTTAATGATTTTTGATCCCTGAGGGTAATATTGGCCACTTCTCAGTTCTGATGAACGGGGTGTTTCACAAGACTTCTGTGCAAGCTATAAATGTAGGCAAGTGAGCTGCCTCTCACAGACAGCAGCACCGGACTGGAGGAATTGCTGTCAGCTCTCCCTCTCCCCATCCGAGAAGCTGAGATCGAGGTGAGATGCGCACTTTTTACACGAAAACTTTCAATAGCTTCATGGGCAGCTACTGTGAAATGCACTTGAAGAGAAAGAGGTTTAAGTGTTGGGATGAGAGTTGCAACATATATGTGAGGATCTGATGTCTGTATTTGCAGAAACATATACATCTTCTAGGTGATGAGAAGACAGGTGCAGGATAAACATGCTTTACAATAGGAGAGGGTGGAGGGAGCCATAGCTACAAAATTCCAAGGATTTCTATCGTTGCTTTGTTGGAACATGTCCAGAGGAGAGCAACAAAGCTGGTGAGGGGTCTGGAGCACAAGTCTTATGAGGAGCGGCTGAGGGAACTGGGGTTGTTTCGCCTGGAAAAGAGGATGCTGAGGGGAGACCTTATTGCCCTCTACAACTGCCTGAAAGAAGGCAGTAGTGAGGTTGGTCTCTTCTCCTGGGTAATGGGCGAGAGGACGAGGAGAAATGGCCTCAAGTTGCACCAGGGGAGATTTAGATTGGACATAGGAAAAATTTTTTCGCTGAAAGGGTTGTCACACACTGGAAGGGGCTGCCCAGGGAAGTGATCAAGTCCCCATCTCTGGAGGTATTTAAAAGACGGGTAGATGAGGTGCTTAAGGACATGGTTTAGTGGTGGGATGGCAGGGTTAGGTTAACAGTTGGACTTGATGATCTTAAAGGTATTTTCCAACCTAAACAATTCTATGATTCTATGATTTATGGTGTGTCAGCAAAATTAACTGCCTGCTTATTATTAATTTTTCTACAGGCAGAAGGTTTTTATGCTAGTGCTTAGTCAATAAATTAAAGTTCAGGTAGCCACAGCCTCCATAAATTCAGTTACAACTGTGAAAAAATACTTAAATGTTTTTAATCACATAGTGAGATTTTTTTTTAAAGTGAGATTTAAGTGATTTTTTTTTTAATGTTGATTATGTTGCTCAGGTCTTGCAATTTTAGTCTGACTTTTAATCTTACTTGAGCAGATCTGATCTTCTCCCATCCCTTCCCAGAATGAAGCAAAGTAACTTCTCTTTTCCCCAGATATATTTGCCCTGAAATCTGAAACTTTGCTTTGATGACTGTTATGTGATTTAGAAAGGGAGCTTTGTGTGGAATTAGGTATGAGTATTTGTAACAGTGCTATGAAAAGACATTTACAACCTGAAATTTAGTCTGACTCAAAGAGCTGATGCTTTGAACTTGATCGCTTCTCAGCTTATGTCAAGAACAGGAATCTCTTGATCTCAATAGAATATCATATAAAAGGTATGTATAAGGTATTTCAGTGAGTCTAAAAGTTCAGCTCTGCACATAAGGGAATAGATTTTTTCCTAATTACACTACAAAATGACTTTCATTTAGAAATCAGTTGAATGTTTCACTATTCTTTACTTGTAATATTATGTGGATCACGAAATTTAGTCCAAACAATGAACATCAATTTCTAAAATAATTCTTAGATGCAGTGTCAATTCTCAATTGAAAGATTTATCACCAGTTATATATTTTGTTTCATTATTATTTAGGATATACCAGTAAGATGGTAAACTAAATGCTCACATGTCCCTCGCACATGTACATAAAACTGACATACACAACTAAACAAAACTGGACAGTTCTGGTGTACATATCTCATTTTACCTTTTTCTTCGAAATTCAAATTTCTGTGTCATGACCTCACTCTTTTTTCAGCTGCTGCTATATTTATCCTCTGCTAAAAATGTTTCACTTTTCCTTCCCCACCCCCCCCATCATTTTGTGTCTGGCTTCTTACAAGCATTGGTTATTTTCTGTTTTCCTTTTCCACAGGCTGTTATCCAGCTCCTACAGCAAGAAATCTGAACTACAGAATCCTACTGAGATGGGAAAAATCATAATTTATGAGCATGCCAACTTCCAGGGTTACTCCAGAGAATTCACCCATGACATTGCCAATCTAAAAGATGTAGATTGGAATGACTGTATCTCCTCAGTGAAAGTAATTGGCCAGCCTTGGGTGGCTTATGAGCACCTCAACTATACAGGTGATTTTCTGGTATTTGAGGAGGGAGAACATGGCTTTGTTGGTGAACATATGAATGATAAGATCACTTCTCTGAAGTTGATCACTGAAAATCTGCACAATCCCCAGATCACTCTCTATGAACATGCCCAATACCAAGGGAAGTCCAGGGTGATAAGAGAACCAACCGATCTGGGTAGGGGACATGACAACGACATCATGTCTTCTCACAAAGTCCAGAGCGGTGCCTGGCTGTTGTGTGAACACAGCGATGGAAGTGGTATCCGTTACATTGCGCGAGAACACGAACACCTTCCAAACTACAATGCAATCCATTTCAATGACAAGCTTTCATTTCTGCGTCCCCTTCTCCCTGGCAAGGGCTGTGGCTGTTAGACTGCAACTCCTGCCATGCTGAGGGAAGATGCAGTCCCAGCAAGAGATGTGAAGCCTAGATCTCTGTCTATGCTTGTATTGCTTTTTTCCCCTGTGTCACAGAAACACTGAATGGGAGAGCTCTCTTTCGCACTGCACTGCAGATCTGTGTTTCTCAATCCTGCCTTACACTGTTCTCCCTCCCCATAATTCCCACGAACAACACTTGGCGCAAGTGAAAGAGACAGGCCAGGGGTGTGTAACCTATTACACCTGCAGTAGGCATTCCAATGTCCTGTACTGTGTAACACAAAAGTATTTGCCTGTTGCTTCTGTTGTTAGATGTATAAACAAAATGCGAACATACAACCAGCATCATTTACTTTGTAATTTGATTTACCATGCTCTTGCTTTACCATGGCCTCTGCCATTTTTTGTATTCCATTTTGTGTTGTTGTATTAAAGAAGCTGTTGAAAGCAATAATGGGTCTATTTTATGTATTTTTTGTGGTTTAATATAGATAAATATTGCCCTTTCATGGTGAGATATCTCTGTGTATTCGGAGAATGGTTCATGCAGTCACCTGTAAACATTTTTCATGGATCTCTCCTGAAAGGTGTTATCTCCTTCCATTCTCACTCAACCAGACTTAACAGTCTCGGTGAGCATGTTAAGTATTGCTGTGATCCTGGCCAAACTCTCACCTAGAGACTTGACTTACTTATCACAAGATTGATTGTGTCTCAAGGCAATGATCATAATAATAATATAGTCTTCTATTGCCCTCAATTATGTAATCAAACAGAAAGTTTTGATAGATTTTAATGGATTGATGGATTGATCACAATAGGAAAATCCATCTGATTTTTTAAACCTTTTTTATCTTGATACGAGATGAGGCATCATTTTGAAATCACAGTGTTTCAACTCAGAGTGGGAAAATCCTTTCTTCTAAAGTTACCTTCATTGCAATTCTACATTGCAATGATGTTTTACTATTGTAACAATCTTGAGAGTCACCATGTGGTATGTTGTTCCACAGGCCAGCTTTACATGCTAGGTCAGGTAGCTTAGGGCCCTCCAACACACCAAGCAGTGCCAGGGATTATCGTTGCTAGAAGCATGCAGGGAATCCCAGCAGACCCTTCTTGGTCCTTTACCAATTCCATGGGCATCACAGGACACAAACTAGGTCTTTCATAGGGCAAAGAGGCAAATGGAGGATGAAGATGCAAGCTGCAAGAAGCAGCAAGCTACAGGAGAAGGGTTGCCGAAGCATTCTTAGTTCACTGTTTTGCAAGCCCCAAGCAGCCTGGAGAGTGACCTACTGTTCAACATTGCTGCAGGATTGTGACTGTGTGTGTTTACACTTTGCCTCCAAATAAAAGCTACATGACAGAGTCAACTTCAAACTAATTGCATCTGGAATAGGAACTATGCAAGGCCTTCTTGCAGGTGTGGGATCACTACCCTATCTACTACTGTCAAGAACTGTTTTGCCACGTACAGGTTTACCTGGCGAGCACACAGTTGCAGTTCTGTGTTATCACTAATGGCAGGTTCGTTCTCCAAGCCATGTATTGCGATGGCTGTCACACACCTCCCCATTGCAAAGTTTATCTAGCCCTGTGCTGAGCTCCTGTTTGCCATGATTTTCTTGTATTTATAGCTAAAAATGAAGCCCAGAACATGCTGTGCTATCACTGCTGGGCTTTGTTCCCATTTTGAAACAAACACTGCAGGCTGTGCTGCCATATCAGCCACTTGTGCTCCTCTGCTAGGCTCATGTGCATGGATGCAATGGTGATAGCTCAGGCTCCATGTGTTTTGGGACACTTCTTACTACTTTGCAGCCAATTTCAGGTTTCCTTGCTCTATTCACCAAAGATCTTCTTTTAATGGGATTTCAAAATTTGATTCAAAGAACATGGAGCATTCTCCTTGCTCTAGGCCAAAATAACTTGGAAATACTGAGCACAGGTATGTCAACCAGAAAAGGATGGTTAAAGAAAGCGCACCCCTGCTGATGAGTGAGACCAGCAAACTGGTAACTGCAGATGAGGAGAAGGCTGAGGCACTCAACAACTCTTTTGCCTCAGTCTTCACTGACAACCTCTCTCTTCACTCCTCCCAGGTTGATGGGCCACATGAAGGGGACCAGGAGGGTAAAACCCCTCCCGCTGTAAGAGAAGATCAGGTTCATGACCACCTGAGGAACCTGAACCACCTGGGACCTGATGAGACACATCCCAGAGTCCTGAGGGAATTGGCCAATGTAGTCGCCAAGCCACTCTCCATGATATCTGAAAAGTCATGGCAGTCAGATGAAGTCCCTGGGGACTGGAAGAAGGGAAACATTATGCCCATTTTCAGAAAGGGTAGAAAGGAAGACCCCGGGAACTATCAACCTGTCAGCCTCTGTGCCTGGGAAGATCATGGAACAGATCCTTCTAGAAGCTATGCTAAGGCACATGGAGGCCAGGGAGGTGATTTGCGATTGCCAGCATGGCTTCTCCAAGGGCAAGTCCTGCCTGATGAACCTAGTGGCTTTCTATGATGGAGTGACAGCATCAGTAGACAAGGGTAAACCAATGGATGTCATCTATTTGGACTTCTGTAAAGTCTTTGACATGGGGAGATAAGGATTTGATGGGTGGACTGTCTGGTGGATAAGGAATTGGTTGGATGGTCACATCCAGAGGGTAGTGGACAATAGCTTGATGTCCAGATGGAGACTGGTGATGAGTGGTGTCTCTCAGGGGTCCATACTGGGACTGATGCTGTTTAATATATTAATCAATGACGTAGACAGCAAGATTGAGTGCACCCTCAGCAAATTTGCAGATGACACCAAGCTGAGTGGTGCAGCTGACATGCCAGAAGGACAGAATGTCATCCAGAGAGACCTGGACAAGCTGGAGAGGTGGGCCTGTGTGAACCTCATGAGGTTCAACAAGGCCAAGTGCAACGTCCTGCACCTGGGTCGGGGTAACCCCCAGGTATCAATACAGGCTGGGGGATGAAGGGATCAAGAGCAGCCCTGCTGAGAGGGACTTGGGGGTACTGACGGATGAAAAGCTGGACATGAGCTGGCAATGTGTGCTGGCAGCCCAGAAGGCCAACTGTACCCTGGGCTGCATCAGGAGAAGCGTGGCCAGCAGGTCGAGGGAGGTGATTCTGCCCCTCTACTCTGCTCTGGTGAGACCACACCTGGAGTGCTGTGTCCAGAAGCCCTCAGCACAAGAAGGACATGGAACTGTTGGAGTGGGTCCAGAGGAGGGCTATAAAAATGATCTGAGGGCTGGAGCACCTCTCCTCTGAGGACAGGCTGAGAGAGTTGGGCTTGTTCAGCCTGGAGAAGAAAAGGCTGCGGAGAGACCTGATTATGGCCTTCCAGTACCTAAAGGGGGCTTATAGGAAAGATGGGGACAATCTTTTTAGTAGGGCCAGCTGTGACAGGACAAGGGGTAATGGTTTTAAACTAAAACAGGGTAGATCTAGACTGGATATAAGGAAGAAATTCTTTACAATGAGGGTGGTGAAACACTGGAACGGGTTGCCCAGAGAGGTAGTGGAGGCCTCATCCCTGGAAACATGCAAGGCCAGGTTGGACAGAGCTCTGAGCAACCTGATCTTGTTAAAGATGTCCCTCCTTACTGCAGGGGGGTTGGACTAGATGACCTCTAAAGGTCCCTTCCAACCCAAACCATTCTATGATTCTAAAAAGACTGCTTCCAAAATAAACAATCTTTCACAAAGGGGATTATTAGTGATCCACAGTGAAGTCCAAATGGATGTTTAAACAGAATGCTGCATAAGGAGGGCTTGTAACCTGTGATATACCAAAAGGAGATATCTAGAGAAGCAGGCTTGAACACCATGGATGTAGTTAAGAGGTGATACATACATAGACTGAACTTTGCTTGGTTAGAAATGTGCGCAAAACAAGTTCAGGCATGTTTGGGTAACCACAGAATATAAAACTTGGGCTTAAGGTCAGATCTTGTCTACCCAGAAACAGGGTGTTGATTACACATTAACCATTTACCTTATTTTGTAACAATGACGTGTTGCATTGCTGATTAGATAACAGGTTCTTCAGAAAACTTTCCTGGAGCTGATTCCTCACACTGACTCTGCTCTCAGCTCATGGCTGGGCTTGCTGCGTTGATGGATCATGGCTCCTGACTGACAGAACACCAGGTGAATGTCCTTCAGTCCGGTGTGTTTAAAGTAAGAATTACATTTGGCATGACTTACAGACTCTAGATACAAAATTAATTCAGAAAATGTTGTATAAAACCTGAAATCTTTAAATCCTTGTGTACAATCATTAACTGCAAAAATATATTCCTCCTCTCTTCAAAATTGTGTAATGCACACATCACATCACTGTTCTTACTTCTTGTCTTTTTCTTTCCCCCCTTACTTACAGCAGAAGTGCACTGCTTGCACAGCAACATATACTCGGATGATCCCACTGGAGGAATTAGCTCTCAGAAGTGAACATGTACAGAGCTTAAGGCAGCACAAATTTTAACTTCCACCACGAGTTTGGAGGCAGTCTGAGGAGAAACTCCACAGAGCTTCAGCAGCTGCATGTACAGCAACACAGTTTTTGGCTGCCCCATCATCCAGAGAAGAGAAGGACTTCAATTCTAGATTCAAGAATGGCATCCTTGGTAACATGTACCAGTTTGGCACTGGCACGTTTGTTCAGAGGGGAACCTATGAACCAGTTTTGAAACTCTTACTGCAGAGGAAGTACATCAGGATGGTGTAACTTTTTTATACGTATCAACATGCAGGCAGTTACTATTTCACATTCAAATGGAGAATGGTGAATTTGAGGGCAGATAGCAGCTTTCAAAATCCTGGTTAAGAGCTCTGGAGTCACACAAACAATAACATCCATCAGGAGACAGTAACCCATAACCTGTGTCTCACAAGGGAAGAAACTACAGGGCTGTAACCCCAGGCAGATGATCAACACCAGGCCCCCTTTGTTTCCCTGTTTCAGGGCTTCGATGCAGCTCCTTTGGATCAGCTGTGCAAATGAGCGGTTCTGACTCTCAACCTGTAGTGGCTGCTCCATTGCCCAGGCGGCCCAGAAATCAGAGGAGCGGAGGGAAACAAGAAGAAAGGATATTCTGCTGCACATATCTTAATATCTTTTTTTGGGCTGAATGACTTAACATTCACTTGGGGAAATGCAAGCTGGTTTTCAAATACAGAATTCTCAACCTTTCCGTTTGCAAACTTGCAAGCTTTCAGTGTTGCTTTCTGTCCTGCGCATTTCATCCAGTGCTTGTAGTCCCCCAGCTTGACATTACATCAGCTTTTAATCTATGAATCCAGCACTGAAAACCAATTGTAGGAAGCAGGGCTGCAGCAATTGCTTTTTTTTTTATATGCATCTTCAAACATCTTCTCTTTAC